TGTGTATATGCAGATACCTGTAATGTATTTTTGATTATTAGAACATATGTATAAGAAAGACTTGGTTTGAAATTGTGCGGGACTGGAAAGAACGCCCCCTTCCCGCACAGGGAAAATCTCGGTGTCGACTTCACAGCGTGTTGAATATGCGTAAATGAAATAAACTTTCCAGACGCATTCTTTCGGCAACAAACCCGCTAGAGATCCGCTGTGCCTGGCTTGAGAGATTGGCCCGTAATCCTGCTTTTTTAAGCTCTCGTGCGATCGAACCTTCGTGTGTGTGTGTGTATGCACGCATGTGTGTAAGTCCGTACATTTTGTGTGTGTGTGTGTTAACTTGTTTGTGAGACTGGAAATACGTGCGTATATGCTAAGCTGCGGCAATCAAGTTAGCCCCTCCAGTCTTATCGGATGGAGCAGCCCCGGCTCTTTAACGAGATCCCTGCTTAGGACTCACCTTGGGGAAAGTCTCCTGCGGTTAGTTTAGGGAAGTGTGGTGAGACCGACATTTAAGGAAGCGAAAGAAGACTGCGAGGTTACTGTGTTTCGTCGTCGAAGAATAGATCGTCCGTTGTTGCTGTTTCGCCAAGGGTTTTTCTTCTCAGTTATATATATATATATATATATATATATATATATATATATATATATATATATATATATATATATAATTACAGAGAACATTTATTTTATTCCATTTTTACGCCCCGCCAATTTGTCGATTTCAGCCTTTCCAGCTCGAAGAAGCCCCTACCCGCTTGTGCGTTTGCGTTAGCGTGGCGTGTTCCACAATGCGCCTGCGCGGAGCCCGATATTGTGGTCTTGAATTGGCGCATGGCAACAAAGCGCATGTGCAGTGTGGAGCACGCAACTCTAACGCAAACGCACACCACTTCCGTTTGCTTCAATACGGAATACTAAATCTCTGTAGTAAGGTACAGTCACATGCCGGCCACAGCGCTATATTGGGACAGTGAAGAGTGTTGTTTGCATTTAGAAATTACTGTTTGCGAGTCATGGTCGCGACGAGCATCGTGCCCCCTGAGCACGAAAGCCGGGGGACCCTCACTAGAGCGCTTTCCGTTTCCGCCGCGAGGGGGCGACCAACGAGCTGGAGATGCCAATTCAACCTTAATCGATCCTATACGTATTTTTGTTTGTTTCTTTCTTTACTTAGACCAGAAGTCTGGGAGGCTGGAGGAAAAGGCGACCAAAACCGCCTGACAAGTCTCCAGTCCCCGTTACAGCGCTACAGTAGCAGAGTAACACTAGACATAATTACAAACATGCAACGAATGGTGCACTTGTAACATTGCCTAATGTCAAACTAAATATATATATATTGTTACGGAGATGTGGGGCCGGCAGGAGAAGACAAGGATGGTCACATAATGAAGCCGAATCATTTAATCGCGGCAGGGCCTAGCGCGTGGGCCTAGCGCGCGATAGTAGTGCACACCACTGCCGCAGCGTCGTCTTCTTCGTCGTCACATTACCCCCTCCTTGGAAGAGGACGACCCGGCCGATGAATGAAGAACACACAAGGAAAATAGCACGCAAACAAAACAGAAACAGATGAAGACAGATGAAAGCACTGCTGCCTGCCGCGAAATACGAGAACCTGTCGCAGTTCCATGACCGGAAGACGCTCTAGCAGCGTTACCGACCGAAGCACCAGTCACAGCCCCGCGACGACACTGTCCGGGCTGGGGAACGTCCGTCATGCCTTCACAAGATTGGGCTGGGGACGGGGCAGGGGATCGTCAATTCTCGTAGCTCTCATTCGTCACAATCATCGTCTCGCAATCGCGTCCTCAAGTCATCACGTAGCACTCTTAATGGTTCCTCGCTTACGTCTGTCAGTTCATGTCGTCCTGTCTTCATGGCATCACTGAGGCGGGGGCTGTGTTGCAGGGCTGTGGGCTGGAGATCAGTCAAATGCGGCGGAGCGCTTGCACCGACGGCGTTAAGGTTGATGGGGGTGAACGGGATGATCGGTACCCCGCACCTCCACCAAATGTTACGGAGATGCGGGGCCGGCAGGAGAAGACAAGGATGGTCACATAATGAAGCCGAATCATTAAATCGCGGCAGGGCCTAGCGCGTGGGCCTAGCGCGCGATAGTAGTGCACACCACTGCCGCAGCGTCGTAAGAATGTTACGGTGAAAGATGCTTAATTTACAGAAGATTAAGGAGGGTTGTAGGAGAAGGATGAGGTGGGTGCTTCGAACTTGAGGGATCCGGTGATTGGGCACTTCTTCCTTTTTTCCTGCCTGATTGCCCGTCTTCGTTTCCTTCCTCTTCGTAAGATTACCCCCCTCGGTAAGAAAACGACGTCTCGTCGTTGAGCTACGGGGCCGACGGTGCGATGTATGGCTTTAGACGGAGCACGTGCACTGTGTCTCGTTGTTTGCGGCGTCCGGCGTTTTGTTGATGGAGGGGTTCTATTACATAGGTGACGTCACTAGATTTGTGGCAGATCCGGTAGGGTCCAATGTAACGATGTTGTAGCTTGTCGGCCAATCCGACATGGCGCTGCGGTGTCCAAAGAAGGACAAGATCTCCGGGAGAAAAACTAACATGCTGGTGGGAACTGTCATACCGAGTGCACTGGCGCTCTTGGGAATCGAGCGTGCGTAGACGAGCTAATTGGCGGGCGTCTTCGGCTCGACTTACTGCATCGGACGCGAATGCTGTTAGCGAAGCGTCTGGTTGAAGTGGAAGGAGAGAATCAATCATTAAGGGGGGTTCACGGCCAAAGAGTAGATAAAATGGGGTAAAACCCGTTGTGTCGTGGCGTGAAGAATTATATGCAAAAGTGATATAGGGTAAGGCGGCGTCCCAATTGCTGTGATCGGACGAGACGTACATAGACAGCATGTCGGATAATGTCCTGTTCAATCGCTCGGTCAATCCATTTGTTTGTGGATGATAAGCGGTGGTGACTTGGTGGCGTACGGAGCAGGATTGCAAGATTTCTGAGACCACGCGCGAGAGGAAAGAGCGTCCACGATCGCTGAGAAGTTCTCGGGGAGCTCCGTACTTCAATATGAAGTCCTCCAAGATGAAATTGGCTAGGTCAACAGCAGTACTGGTTGGAAGGGCGCGGGTGATCGCATAACGAGTGGTGTGGTCTATTGCAACTGCGATCCAGCGGTTGTCAGTGCGTGACAAAGGAAATGGTCCTAGAAAATCAACTCCGAGTCGCTGGAATGGGCTGAGCGGAGGGTGCAGTGGTTGAAGGAGTCCTGATGGTCGAGTATGCGGTTTCTTTCGACGTTGACAAGGGTCGCATGAGGAGACATATTTCTTAACAGTTTGATACATGCCAGGCCAATAAAAACGTTCCTTAACCTTTGTGTAGGTGCGAAGCAGACCAAGATGACCTGATGAAGGGACGTCGTGTAGTTCGTTGAGAATAGTTGTCCTTAGGTGTTTAGGAACAACTACAAGCCACGGTAATCCATCTGGTCTGAAATTTTGCCGGTATAGGATGTCGTTTCGAATGCGAAAGAGTCCTGAGGGTGGCTGGTTTAGGTTTGACGTTAGATGTTCAATGTGAGCTCGAATAGCTGGGTCACGGCGTTGTTCCTGGGCAAGGTTGAGGAGGTCTGAGATTGGAAGGACAGGCAGTTCAGTGTCATCTGAGGAATCGACTGGGCTCACTGGGTAGCGGGACAAACAGTCAGCATCTTGGTGCATTTTTCCAGATTTGTATACGATGGTAAAGTCGTATTCTTGAAGTCCAAGCGACCAGCGGCCGAGGCGGCCAATGGGATCTTTCAAGGACGACAGCCAGCAGAGCGCGTGGTGATCAGTTATGACACGAAAGGGACGCCCAAAGAGGTATGGCCGAAATTTACAAATTGACCATAACACAGCCAAGCATTCCCTCTCAGAGATGGTGTAATTACGTTCAGCTGGCGAAAGGAGGCGGCTGGCGTAGGCAATTACTCGTTCTGTACCAAGTTGATGTTGCGCAAGAACAGCTCCGATGCCGTGACCACTGGCATCGGCTCGAATTTCGGTGGGTACCGTGTCGTCGAAATGTCCAAGAATGGGGCTTGATGTCAAAGCAGCCTTGAGATATCCGAACGACGAGTGGTGTTGATGGTGCCATTCGAAAGGTTGATTCTTCTTGAGGAGAGAGGACAGTGGTAGCGCGATGTGTGCAAAGTCTCGAATGAAGCGGCGAAAGTAGGAGCAAAGCCCCAAGAAACTCCTAACGTCTTTCGTTGATTGAGGTTTGGGAAAATCTTTGACTGCCTGAATTTCCTGGGTCTGGGAGGATACCATTTTTGTCGACGAGACGTCCCAGGACTTTAATTTGCTGACTTCCGAACCGACATTTTGATGAGTTGAGTTGTAGTCCAGATTGTTGCAAAACTTCAAGAACTTGCTGCACACGTTCGAGGTGCTTGGAGAATGAGTCAGAGAAAATGATTACATCATCGAGGTAGCATAAGCAGGTTACCCATTTTAGGCCTTTGAGGAGACGATCCATCATTCTTTCGAACGTGGCTGGCGCATTGCAAAGGCCAAAGGGCATCACCTTAAATTCAAAGAGTCCATCAGGTGTGATGAACGCAGTTTTCTCGCGGTCCGATTCGTCGACGCTGATCTGCCAATACCCCGAGCGTAGGTCAATACAGGAAAAATATTCAGCGCCATATAAGCAATCGAGAGTATCGTCGATACGGGGCAGGAATACACATCTTTTTTTGTTATGTTGTTTAATTTGCGGTAATCGACGCAGAAGCGCCATGATCCGTCCTTCTTTTTTACTAAGACGACAGGAGAGGACCAAGGACTTGACGAGGACTGGACAATGTTTTGTGACAGCATATTATTAACTTCATGTTGGATAGCGCGGCGTTCGCTCGGTGATACTCGGTAAGGACGGTGGTGGATTGGAGGTTCAGTACCGGTGTCGATTCGGTGAGTAACTGCATTTGTCTGGCCAAGAGGACGACTTGGAAAGTCAAAGATGGTGTGGTACTTGGAAAGTAGGTCGCGAAGTTGATGGATCTTATCCTCGTCCCAAGTCGGATCAATCATGGTTGTAATGCTGGCCAAGGCAGGGCTCGATAGTTGCGTTGCGACGGTGCTTTCTGATTGTTCCTCGGAAATGGCTGCAACGACACAATTGATTGTAGGGAAACTTGGCGCAATAGTCACACCTTTCGGTAATATTTGATGACTCTGACCAATATTGACTACCCATAAATCTGTCGCACCACTTTGGATAGTTGCGACGCAGTATGGTAATGCAAGTTGCCTCTCAAGCAAGATGCTCATATTCGGTGTGATAATGTAGTCACTGTCTTGAATCGAGTGGGTCGTTGTGACATTTATGGCGGCAGCAGACAAGGGAGGAATGCGTGATGTCTCAAAACAACATAATCTGGACACAACCGAGTCAGAAACGTCGCAGGACTCACTGGTATCGAGCTCAATCTCGCCTTTGGCACAGTGGATGAGGGCCGAATGTGAGGAGAGAAAGTCCCAGCCGAGGATGATCTCGTGGGGACAGGTTATAAGGACTGTAAAAAGGATGAAGGTAGTCTTGTTGTTAACAATTATGCGAGCGCCGCACATGCCATGAGGTGAAATAATGCCGCCATCTGCACCGCGGAGCGTTTTCGTGTCAGGTGGCGTCAGTACTTTTCGTAAGCGTCGTCGGAGGTCTTCGCGCATTATGGACACCGCGGCTCCAGTGTCGACAAGGGCTACTGCGCTAATACCGTCAATATGAACCATGAGTCGATTATGAGATGTAGCGACGATATTCTGTAGAGGATTTGCGGCTATAAACTGTGATGCAGCCTCACCTCCTGAAGCTGCATGGTTCAGTTTTCCGAGGGTCGAAGATCATGGGACGGCGAAACGAGGCGGCGAACGAGTGGGGACAATGATTGGCGGCGACGCGGGGACTGAGGGCGAGGGTTCCGCGATGAGCGATAGAATGTTGCATCTTCGCTTGGGTAGTCATCAGAGGGTGAAGCGAAGTTTCTATTGTAATAACGACCGTCATTGGTGGGTAGAAACGTCCGGTTGTTTGGTTGTCGGTTGTTCCAGCGATTTCGACAGTAGCGGGCGACGTGACCAGCCATACCGCAAGCAAAACAAATGGGTCGGTTGTCGGGGGTCCTCCACGTGGCGGGATCACGTCGGTGGTACGGTCTGAAGGATGGCGTCGCAGTTGAAGATTCACAGGCGCAGCATTGGGGTGTCTGTGCCTGTTGACCAAATGATGGTCGAAGACTTGGACGCGGCGAGCCGCCGAACTTCTCCATTTCTTGCCTAATGACAGTGTTAACGGCGGCGATGGATAACTCGCTAGTCGATGAGCGGGGAGACGGGGAAACACCGTCAGCGGGCATCATCGCCTCCAGTTCTCGGCGGACGATTTTCGTGATGCGCTCTGTGTTAGTATCAGAGTCTTCACAAGATGATGTTGCCGGGGTGTTTGGCAAACGGTTGAATTTGTGCGCTATCCTGCGAGTCTTTGCAGCTTCGAACCTGCGGCACTCTTTCAGGACGTCGTCGACAGTCGAGCAATCCTTAATGACAAGTAGCTGGAAGGCATCATCTGCGATGCCTTTGAGGATGTGTTCCATCCGTTCGATTTCTGGCATTTCGGGGTTAGCTTTCCTGCACAGAGATAGGACGTCTTGGATGTAGGTCACATATGACTCGGTCGATGTTTGGACTCTGGATGCCAGCTTTCGCTTGGCCGAGAGCTTGCGACCGGTTGGACGTCCGAAGAGGTCCTGAAGCTTGGCTTTGCAGAGGTCCCACGACGTTAGTTCCTCTTCATGTGTTTCAAACCATGTTCGGGCGGTATCACGCAAGTAGAATATGACATTCGCCAGCATGATAGTGCCATCCCAGCGGTTGTGGATACTTACTCTTTCATAGAGGTCTATCCAGTCTTCAACCTCCTGGTCTCCTGTGCCGGTGAAAAGGCCAGGATCTCGCGGTTTGGCGATAACCAGTGAAGGCTGCGGCGGAGCTTGAGCGCCTTCGGGTGGTGTTTCGGAACTGGAAGTCATGTCGGTGGGAGGTTGGCGACGTCTGCTTCGTGGGTCCAGGTCGGGGCCGATCCGCACCTCCACCAAAGAATGTTACGGTGAAAGATGCTTTATTTACAGAAGATTAAGGAGGGTTGTAGGAGAAGGATGAGGTGGGTGCTTCGAACTTGAGGGATCCGGCGATTGGGCACTTCTTCCTTTTTTCCTGCCTGACTGCCCGTCTTCGTTTCCTTCCTCTTCGTAAGATTCGACGAAGAAGACGACGCTGCGGCAGTGGTGTGCACTACTATCGCGCGCTAGGCCCACGCGCTAGGCCCTGCCGCGATTAAATGATTCGGCTTCATTATGTGACCATCCTTGTCTTCTCCTGCCGGCCCCGCACCTCCACCAAATGTTACGGAGATGCGGGGCCGGCAGGAGAAGACAAGGATGGTCACATAATGAAGCCGAATCATTTAATCGCGGCAGGGCCTAGCGCGTGGGCCTAGCGCGCGATAGTAGTGCACACCACTGCCGCAGCGTCGTCTTCTTCGTCGTCACAATATATATATGGGTGGTTTCATCTCAAATCGTGCAGGCAAAAAGGGTCGAATTTATAATTTCGATGAAAAAAATATATGTTATGGCGCCGTTTCTAAAACCGTAGTCGACACAAACCGCAAGTTCGTCGGATTTTTTGTTCTCGACTTATGAATTTTTAAAGAGGCCGCGGCGAAAAGCAGTTTTTTTCACACCCGTCGTGGGTCGGATGTTTCGCTTAACCTCCCGCCATGGATTTTCAGCCCACATTATATTATCTTTTTTGAAGCACTCTGTGGACACATTTAAAAAGCTCCAATACCATGAAATAATTTTAGGCCTTTTGCTTTTTTTCTGTAAAAATGTCAAAAACGCCTCCTCGGTCAATTGTTAACAAACTTTGACAATTAATTACTGGCGATCTACTTGGGTTACACCGATATTTTTTATGTCCACGGAGAGCCCAAAACACGCTCTTTATATTTATTATAAAATGCCCTGGCTATATAAAATATTTTTTGCGGTACGTTTACGTTAATAGTATGCAAAAACCAAAAAGTACCATTTTTGAAATTGATTTTCTCAAAAAACCCATTTTTTATTTTTTTTATTTTTTGTTCAAATGTAGATATGATAGTTATCTACACAAAAATTAAGCCTAGAAAGTGTATATTTTGTTTGCATGTTTTATATTTAGGCCTCAATATCGGAAAAAGACGTCTTTGTTTTGCAAGACCTAAGTCAGACATAGCGACCCATGCGTCTCTATGAATTGTGAAAAAGTTTTCTTGAATTTTCTTCTGCATTTTGTAATCAATTATAAACGGATTTTGAGGTATTGAATATTTATGTATGTTTTGATAAGAGCGGGAACCATGAGATACATATCTAACCAAATCAGCAGGCCTAGTAGACTTTCAATAACCAAAAGGCACAGACGTTGTATTGTTTCGATTTATAAACCTTTCAAAGTAAACTAGAACGACTAGCTATTAGCTGTCATATTACTAAGACAAAGAAAGTCACCACATCGTCGATATATCATATACAATTCTTTACGAAACCAAACACTGGGGCTTGTTCACCGCACATCGCACAGGTCACCAGGGAATGTCCTTTCACTTCCGTAATACACAAAAGTGGTGACACAGAAACGGTCCGAAACACACAGAGAGTGTGTCACGGAGAGGGGTAGGAAATGAAAATAAATAAACAGGAATTAAATTGCCCAACTCCGATCTTAACGAAAATTGCGTTAAAAAAATAAAATAAAGTATTTAGGTTCGAGCGGTGGCAAGGCGATAGGTCCACGGCTGGTGGAGAGTCAGACAAAGAAGTCGACGGCACGTAAAGGTAAAACAAAAAAAAATCAATAATTTAATAAAGACGGGAAAACTCAGCCGCACATGGCAAGAACAAAAACCAACTCCCCCGGGCTTTCCCTAAACGGGACGCAACCCAATGCGTGCGAACACGCTCTCTACATCACCGCCAGGCCGCTACGCCATGACGAAATAAACCCAACAACTGAACAGTGCTAACAAACAGTTAGTAAGAAAACATTGAAAAAAAAAAAAAAGTTCAGAAAAAACCGCACCCGAGAAACAAAGTTCAGCGGGGCGAAGAAACACACACGAGTCGGCACCACGACATTGAAGTCTGGCAGGATGACGGTGTCCAGATGATGCTCGAATCTGTTCCTCCCTCTATTATGCACATCCACGACGGCTGTGCGGAACAGTGGCTGTACGAAAGAAAGTGAAGAATAGATTCGAGCAGGCGATGCGCGAGAAGGTAACCGAGACTATGCTTCAAGCTTCATATCGGGAGATGAGCTTTCGAGGTAGTTTCTGCAGTTACTCAAACTTTCTCTTTCCCCTTCCCTTTTTCAAAAGAACACGTCAGCCGGCGCTAACGTTTCATCTCGAGAGAAGCCCACTCTTCACAAACGGTTATAGTTGGCAAGGAGGCTGACTTCGACCCAACTAGTCTCCGGGCAGAATACCAACACGCTCGTTTTAATGTCAGTCTCCGGGCTTTGCTGTTTCCAAAAGAGATAACCCTTTATATGGACAGAACGAGCGGGTTGGTGGGGATAGTTAAACTTAAACACTCCCTTCTCGTTTTCTTCCTCAAGTTTAATAGATAACCCTTCGGTGTTATCGGATCTCCCCGGAGAGAGAGAGAGAGAACGGCCGTTTCAAGGTAAGGGTAGGGCGCTCGAAGCTAGGGCAAACAGGCGGTATCGTTTCACGCACGCACGGATGGCTGGTTTCAAATTTCCCCACATCCCTAACGAAACCGGCCCATCTTCATGTGTGCGTCTGCGGGATTTCTGTCCCGCGCCGCCGGTTTTAGCGCGCACGTGGCGTTGTTTTGGCTGGCAGAACAGTCGTTGACCGTCGACATTGTAAGGCCGTGGTGTCCTCATCCTTTTAGGCAACGATTCCTTTGCTTTCCCTTGTGAAATACTCTGACAGACTCCTCCTGGGTGGCTGTCACTGTTCGCCGCGTCAACGACACAATCGTACCATTTCACTCCTCGTGACACAGGGTGCGCTGCTCGCTTCACTGTCACGGGCCGTCCCATCTAACACAACGAGCGCGAAAGGTCGTGGTCATCTGCTGGCTCCGAAAGGGCGGGACTTTCATGCAGGCCAATGAGGGCCCCGAATCAATAAGACGTCTGCCGACTCCTACACGTTAAAAATTTACACCTGCTGGTCTGTTAAGAAGTGTTGCTTTCTCTTTTTGGAACTCCTCCGATGTAGCTTGCCGCCTATAATAAAATTTTAATAATCAATAAATATATCAGGGTGGAAATACTGTATTTCATTTTTATGTGGGAACGTTGAAAAAAAAAAAAAAAAAAAAACTATTTCCAAGCTTGTGAAGACGCGCAATTCGCAAGTCCATTTCGAGCCGTAAAAACACGTTTTTGTACGATATTGATGCTTAAATGTAGAACATACAAACAAAATATACACTTTCTAGGCTTGATTTTCCTGTAGACAACTATCATATCTACATTTGAACAAAAAATAAAAAAAAAATAAAAAATGGGTTTTTTGAGAAAATCAATTTCAAAAATGGTACTTTTTGGTTTTTTCATACTATTAACGTAAACGTACCGCTAAGGATATT